ATTTAATGAAGCTTTTGAAAGACTTGTAAATAAAATTGCCGAATTTGCTGAAATAAATTTAAAAAATATTGACATATCTCTTGATGAAACAGAGGATATTGCAAATGAATTAAAAAAATATGATGAAATTGTCAAAAAGGAGAAAAATATTGATGAGATGTTAGAAGAAAAGGTAATGTTTAGAACTAGAGATCGGTAAAATCGCATTTGCAGGGTCCTGTATCAGGATTGGGTTTTAAAATTTCATACAGGACAGGATTCTGCAGGATTAATCCTGAAAATCCTGAAAACTGAAAAAAGGCGGGATTTCGGACAGGATCCTGAAAAATCCTGTGCGGGATCCTGTCCTGTGCCGATCTCTATTTAGAACTGCTAATAGATGGCTAAATTTCCTATTGAAATTTGGAGAGACCATCCAACCCGTGATATATATACAGTATTTATTCTAATTGAATAGTCTCCATGTATTTTCAATGCCCCAGAAGGAGACATTCAAATGGGGCAGTTTCATTAAAATAATAAATGATACATATAATAAATTTCAAGGAATCTAATACTTCGTCGCATAGAGAAAATTACATGGAATTGATAAATATAATTATAAATTGCAAGACTTTCATGATAAATTTGCATTTAAAAGGCTCAGAAGGGACTTTGATTGATATTTACTCTTTTATGGAAAAAGCATCCTCTTTAAACTACAAGGAATCTTTGTTTAATTTTACGGCATTAAATGTGTTGAAAATAATTTTTAATTTATCAAAAATACAAAGCAAAGAAATGGATAATGCTATTATTGAAGTAATTTACAATCAGCATTTGGAAAATAAGAAGAAATTGAGAAAAGAATATAAAAATGCAATTGTGGCGAGTGAGGGTTCAGTTGGTCTAATTGCTACATGGAAACTTTTTATTGGTAATATTAAATAGTTTTATGAATTTAAATGTTGACCAATTCTTGGCAAAATTTTACAAAAAAATGACGAAATATGGACCAAAATATGCAAGGATATGGAAATATGCACGAGAGGGCCAAAATATGCAAAAATATGAATTAATAACCCTGTCCTAAAGTGCTCATACCAATGTATAAATACAATTTTGAGTTTCTCTCATCCAAATCGGATTTGATTCCGATTGGATAATTCTTTTAGTATTTTTGAGGTAAAGGTCTGTTCTTAATAACCCTAAAGTTTTGAGTCGTTCCAGTCTCATTCGTTCGGAAATGAGAGAAAATCTTACATGAGGAAGTGCGAACTTTTGCGAAAATTTTTACACGCGACTTCCACACTTTATCCGTGCTAGGGATAAGAACTTCAAAAATTCTTGATTAAATAGTTCCTTAGTTATTTCTCTATCTTATATTTTTATTTTATCTCAATATCATTAATCTGAATAAAGTTATGCCAAAAAGTATATATATAGGTCATTTTAAGAAGGAATAAATGTGACTGTTTTGAGTAGTCATAATGGATTAGAGGATATAATTTATCTTGACAATAGATGGATGTCTAAATTACGTTTTATTTTGGGCACTGAATTTGACAAGATAATTCCCGACGAAGAAAAATTAAAGATGAAATTAGTTGATAATGGAATTGTCTTTACGATCAAGAATCTTAAAAATGCACTAAATAAACGTTTAAATGTTTTGTCAAAATATGTTCAGGCAAAAGAAAAAATTAAAAATGGAAATAAAAAATCGTTTTTGAATTTGCTCTTCGATTCAAAAGTTTTGGACATTAATATGGGCCATGAAAAGCAAAGTGCAATTTTGGATGAAGGTGATAAAGGTAAACACGATGAAATTCTTTTTGATTTATTTTTCTGTGATATTACTAAACATATTGAATATGTTGCTGCAAACGATATGGTGTTAAACAAAAAACAAGATAAAAAAATTTTCGAGGGAAATCAAATTATGATAATTAGTATATACTCGATTGGCAGCAAATTATTAAAAAATTTAAAAGTTTTTACTAATGAATCGTTTTTCCTTTCTGAAAAAATTAAAAATCGTTATCGTCATATTATTTGGTTGATTCTTCATGGAATGGAAGAAGTAAAATATAATTCTCAACGTCCAATGACTAGAACTGGCAAAGCTTATAGAACATTCGCAACCGGACGCCTTTGGTATAAGGATCATCCCGGGAAAGACGAAAATATTTCTGTTCATATATTTGAGACAAAGACAACAATAACAATTAAAGCAGAAACACCTATGGCAATTGTTGAATTAATTGAAGAAGTTAAAAATGAGAGGGAAGAATTGAGAGAGATGAACGATGAGGAATTTAAAAAGAAAAGGGAGTACTCATTGGTTGCTGAAGAAGAACACAAACATGATCAAGAAGAGAAAGAAATATTAGCCGAGATAGAAAACGAACAAAATAAAATATTTGAAGAAAGTAGAAACAAAAGTGGTAAGTTGGTGAAAGATGTATTAAAAGAATTAAATGAGGAATCTGATAAAATATTGAAAGAAATATGGGAAATGGAACACAATATTAGAAACGAAGAGATAGCCGAAGGAAAAATACAAGAATTAAGATTATTGAAGGAAAAAAGAGATGAGATATTAAGAAAAATAAGAGAAATTAAACTCGAATACTACTATAAAGAACTTGATAAAAAATCAGCCAATATCACCAACCAACTGAAGAATTTATTAGAGCAAAAGTTACGAAGGCTAAAAGTTGAAAATGATAATCTTTTAAAGGAGGATATAGAGGTTGAGCGCAAAATTTTTTTGGAAAAATATGATGAATTTATTGTTGAATTAAAAGAAAGATGGTTTAGAGCTGTTTTTTATCGAGTATTCAATGAAGTATACAAAACTGAAGACAAAAATACTGTGAAAATTAAATTAAGCAAGGAAAAAGAAGTGGAAAAAGGAGAATCAAGTACAATCACTAATGTTGAAACACTTCAAAATAAACAAGACGAACATATTCTCTATTTTGACAAAAACAGTTTAATTGGAAAAACATTTTTGTTAAAAATTTATGGAAAAGAAAATGCAATAAAATTGGTTAAAGGAAAAAAAGATTCACCAATACTTGTAAATATTAACGATGGAAATAGTAAGTTTTCAGAGAAAATATAAACTAATAACTGTAGACTTTGGAACAATTCCGTCATACAGTCTGTTGTGTAGTGGTATCGCTATAGTATAAAAGCCAGTGAAAGCGTCAGTCTAGTTGAATCATACTAGCGCGGCTAGTTCCGGATTTCCTTCGTTTGTTCCAACCCTTTCACCTTCGCCTACATTGTATATTTCTATACCGGATAAATTGTTATTCTTGTGCACGACAACTTCAACTAAATCTCGGACACTTCCGGTTGTAAAACAGTCACGGAACAAGATATTTACTTTATTTTCTTAGATAAAGTATATAATTTTTAAAGGTTTGCTCGATGTCGATAATGCAGTTTCTGCTATTAAAGAATACAACAACAGCATCGAACAAATGGATTTAACAAAAATGTTAACGGAAGCGTTGAAGAACAAAAGTTCGGCTTAAAAAATGTATAAAAGGAAAGTAAAAAATCTAAAAAATTAAAAAAATACACAAAATTTAAAAAAATATAAAAAACACAATGTATTTAGCCCAACTAAACGATTTTTTTTTATTTTTTAAAACAAATGTAAAAGAGGTTTTCTATTTTAAAGTCATGACGGTATTTTGTCGGATATTTAAAAATTTGAACTTTTAATGCCCCCTATAAATACTCATCCCAAATGGTCATTATGTTATCAGTAGGAATCGGATTTTTGGGGCGTAAAAATGCGCTAACTGACCATCACTGACCACTGTCCTTTTCATTTTAAATCATCTCTCATTTATTAGACACGTAGAATTTATGAAGTAATTAGAGAAAATTGGCGAGAAACTAAGCCTATTAGTAGTAAGGGACCGGCCGAAGTCGTGGTCGTGGGGGAGGGGTCCGGTCAAACCAAAGGGTGTAGGGGGGTTGCGGCTAATTTTCTTTGATTTTGCCGACAATATCCTATGGGTGTAGGGGGTTTTCGGGAGATTTTCTTTGATAATTAGTATGACTAATTGACCAATTAGCACCTATTGAACAAATCGCTTTGAACTTGCCGATACATCGAAGTTGTGGGGAAGGGGTTAATTGACCAATTAGTGCCTACTAATTGGTTTTCACTGAATCTAACCAACGAATCGTAGTCGTGGGGTAAGGGGTATATCAATTAGTGAGTAATTAATCACTATGGGTGTCAAGTGAATAATTAATCAATTTGTGCTGGATGATGGACAAAATGGTCAACAACAATGATTTAACCCATACAGCTCTCTTTAGAGCTTTAAATTTAATAAGTGAAACGAGACATTGACTAATTGATTTTTATTTGTATAAACTTTTAATTTATGAAACTTTTGTTTTATTTTTTATTTGTTTAAAGGGTAATTAAATAACAGCGAGGAAAGGATTCCCTTCTAATCTGTCGATGACAGTGCGCGAAAGCTACAGTACTTTTTCATTTATTTTAGAAAGAGAAGGTTAGAGACAAGAACCCCAATGTGACTCAAATTCCCTCTTATATTTTATATAAATGCTAAGTTCTTCTCTCTGTCTTGCAGTATTATGGATGGTCTAACAAGACATTTGAGTCTGATATTTGTTTAAGATAAAAAATAGTCCCGGAGGGGTTTCGTACCTTCAACCTTTCAACATAGCCTTCAATCTAACCCAGGCTCTTCCAAATGAGCTACCGTGACATGTAATAAAATATGGTTGTATCTCTTGATTAATTTTCACTTTAAAATTTCTTTAATTTCTCTTCTTGATCTTTTTTTCTCTTCTCCACTCTTACTTTGTTTTCAAATATCTGGTATGAATAAAATCCTTTATTAAGAAAATAATCATTGGCATAATGCTTTTGCGTTATTTTTTAATTTAAATTATAACGAACCAAGCGCATACTCAATATTTATCTAAAGAATTTCTCAAGAGTGGCCGCCATTATTTTTTCAAAGGAAAGAGTAGGAGAAAATGAGAGTGTAGAAATAAATAAAATGAGCGAGAAGAGAGATGGGCTGAAAGTAATGTAAAATGAGTGAGACTAAAGTAGGGAAAATGAGAGAGTATGTAGAAATAAAGAAAATGAGCGAGAAGAGAGAGATGGGATGAAAGTAGAGTAAAATGAGTGAGAGCAAAGTAGGGGAAAATGATCCATTTGAAATTACGTGTAAAACTCAGTGCTAGGGACCATATAAATTTAAATATTAAATTCGAATGAGTAAAATATAGGAGGATTGAAAATTGTAAAATTAAATTCCTCAAAAATTTTAATTAAAATTTATTTAAATTGAATTATTACAATTAAAGTTGATTGAATATTTAAAAAATACAATAAAAAGAATGATTGTTTATATAAAAGTTATTTTTTATTATAAGGTGCGAGCAAATCAGTTGCCATACAATTCTTTTTCACACAATTTGAACACAAATCAATTTTCACAACAACTCTTTCATCCTTTTGTGTTATCTTTTCCTGTGATTTAAAGAGATTATCACGGCAAGTTGAACACAAATAGAAAGTTAGGAGGAACTTTCCACGAAAAAGTTTCCAAAGAGCTTGTTTTGGAGGATTTGGCTTTTTGAATTCTGTAGATGTTGTTTCAATCTTTTTAACTTTGGATGGAATAACTTCGATGGGAGTAGCTTCTCTTTTTCTAATTTTAGCAGGAATTTCCGGCGGAGGAATTGTAGGGTCAAAAGGAGCAATTTCTGTTATTTCTTTATTATTATTAATTTTATTATTATTATTCATTTTATCTCACAATAAAAATTTTGTCAAAATAAAAATAATGAGGAGCTAATTAGCAAAACCTTCGTTTATATACCAGACAATGACCTTGAAAACAGTATTTAAGACGCCAAAAAATTCAAATTTATTCATTTGGTAATTATTCAAAACAAAATGGTCCTCCTCTCTGAAGAGTGCGCACGCATTTTAAATTGTCCTCTCAAATCCCTGAGGGAGCAGCTCTTTCACCCGAAAAATAGAATTTTAATTTTGAAAGAGCTTTTGGGGCGCAAAGTACGCACGACATATGAGGACAGAAATGGACATATAAAAATGTTCAAAATTGGAGGACTTTCAAAATATGGAGCAAATGTCACTCAAGCTTATGGGCGCCTACCTCGTCCTTTTAATATTTCTGTGGCTGCTCATTTCTATGCACGCCATAGAATCCGACTTCACCACCCTTTTCTTCATTGTATTATTGAAAGATTTCCTAGACATATGGAGGACCGATACTATCCGCTTGAACTTCTTGAACTTGTTGAGGAGGAGCAAAGTGAAAGATCAACTCCGTCTACTCTCAAACCTCTGATATTTCGATGTGGCTCGGATTCTGAAGAAAATAATGAAGAAGAGCTTTCATTGTGCGAGCTTAGCCTAGGATGGTAATACACACACACATAGGCACACACACACGCTCTTCCGTAAATATTTTCTCTTTGTTCAAAATTTCAATTTTTTATAAATTTACATCTTATTTTCTTAATTATGCTCTTTTACCCCTAAAATGATAGCTCCTCTTTCTAAATTGTTTTTTTTTAAATTGTAACTTCTATTCCTTAATTATGCACTTTTACCTTTAAAAGTAACAGTTTCCTGCTCTTAATTTTGCTATTGATTTTTCTTTTAATTAATTATGCTGTTTTACCCCTAAAATTGAACACTTTGCTCTCTTAATTTTGCTCCTAATTTTTAACAAAATTGTAAGATTCAAATTTATTAGAATAAAGTTAAAAATAAAATAAAAGTAAAAATAAATAGATAAAAATTTTAAATTACAATGGTGGAGAAATACGAGGACGGGTAGGATTATTGATATAGCCAAAGTTCAAAACATTATAATTAGACGAGTTAACAATTCCTTTAGAGACAACAGGTTTATAGGATTTAAAGGAAGGTTGAGAGAAAACAGATCCTAATTTAATAGAGGGACGGAGAGTATTAGGGTATTTTATACAAATAGGATCAATATCACCAGTTTTCCCAAAATTTAAAACCTTCTCCTTAAAAGTTTCATAACGCAGGTCTTGGTTTTGGATGACATCCCAGTTGAGCGTCATACCTCTCACTTTCAGCACGTATTCCGGCTCCGCTTCCAATTGCTCCTTTCTTCGAAGTTTAAGTCCATATTGCTTTGAGCCACCACAGCAGAACTCCATAATATCGTGCGCCGGGTACTCATCAGTAAACTCGCCAAGATGCGGTCCTAATTGAAGAGGGCACATATCTTCAGGATGAGAGAAGATGAGCGAGTCGGTATCTAAAAATTTTAAATAATTATTAAGAGCAAATTTTATTATTTACCTGTATAGAGTAGGGAGCAACCAGGAGCGCGCACCACTTTTTGCATTGCACGCAGCAGGTGAAGACGTGCTGCGGATGTTGTCCATAGCGACACAACTAAATTTTTAAAATTAATAAAATTTTAAATTTGAAAAAAAAACATTCTTACCAACATTGGAGCAATCGTGCTCCTCAATCCAATCCTTCTTCTTGACATATCGGAGCAGTAGGACTCCAGGCTTCAGTTCATCAACAGCAGAGAGTTCAATTGACGGGTCGTCCTTGTATTTGCAAAACTCAGCTGAGTCGTCGGTGACAAGACTCTGCGAGAGTCCAAAGTTCCTCAATGAAAAGCGCCCCCCTGAATTTTTAAAATATTATTTATTAAATAAAAAAACTTACAAAGGTTGTTCAACATTAATTTTGCCTGTGTTCTCCTCCCTTTGTTCGGGACCATCTTGCTCCTATCAATGTTTATCCCGAACAGCTCCTTGCACTCCTTGATAAATCTCTCTTCTTTCTCTTGATTCCCTTTAATGCTCCCATCAAATCCTGAGCTGTGAATCTTTTGCGCCATGAACTCACTGATGTATGGTTGGAAGAGTTTGCTGTCGAAGGTCGTGAACTCCAAAACTCGGAAAAGTTTGGTGACGATGTATCCCTAAAATTGTAAGGATTACATTATTTATTGAAATTAAATTGGACCTCTTCAAGCGCTGCATTTAGCTCAATAGAAGTGCACGTAGAAACCCATCCTCTTTGGAGATCGGTGTGGGAGCAGCTGTAGTTAGGGAGCACTTCTCCATTTGGATATTTTCTGGCGCATGCAGCGCAAAGTGTGAACAGGAGACGCTCATCACCATCAAGTTTCATAGGGAGTACAGCAACATCGATCTTTCTTGGCGGAATTACAAAAACCTTAATAAAAAAGTTAATATTGAATATTTTATAAAAATTAAACAAAAATTAATACCTTCAATATAGCCAGCTCAAAGCTATTGTTTTCTGGAGTTGTCCAATGCACATCTTTATTGAAAATGTGGACTGTTGGATGTCCAATCGGATACTTTGTAGTTACATTGATGAAGGGATAAAGAGAAGTCACGTCAAAGTATGAAATCTTCTCCCCTTTAGATGGAGCATGAAAGAGCTTTAATGGCCCGGTCCTTCCTCCAAAAAAGCAGGAGCGGATGTCTATTGCTCCTCCATCCATAAAGTTGTTAAAACTCCTCTTCATTTCTCTGCTCTTGGACAACATGTTCTTTATTTCACATTCCCAGTAGACTTTAACATTCACATTTTGCTTCCTGATGTATTCGAGTCGGATTTTATCGTGCTCTCGTTGCTTTCCTGCTGATTTACCGTTTGGGAGTATCATGTTGTCGTGAGGATAACATCGGGAGCATCCATGCCATGCACATCCGTTGACCTCAATCCCGAGTCTTTGCTCTTCAATCCAACCGTCAACTCTATAGCTTCCAATCTTCTTCTCTCCCCCATCCGAATATGCTGTCTGAATATTGACGTTGTTTTCGGAAGCAAACCAATTGAGAAACTTAAGAGCAAGCTTGCTCTGGTTGTCAGTATTGTCATACCCCCTCTCAGGTACAAGTCCTAAAAATTTTAAATATTAGTATAAATATAAAAATTTGATTATTGACCTAAGTGATGTTCCTTGAGGTGGTTGGTTCTGAAGTGGCGCATACAGGCGGAGGCTATTGTCATTGCCTCGCGAAGGATGTCAATACCATTATGAGCCTTTGTTGACGCTGCTCTCTGTCCAACTCCTCTCTTAGTCACCTGAAATTTCAGAAAATTATTATTGCTCCTTAAATTTATTGCTCCTTAAATTATTATTGTTCCTTAAATTGCTCCTTAAATTATTGCTCCTTAAATTATTATTGTTCCTTAAATTGCTCCTTAAATTATTGCTCCTTAAATTGCTCCTTAAATTATTATTGCTCCTTAAATTATTGCTCCTTAAATTGCTCCTTAAATTATTATTATTGCTCCTTAAATTATAAAATTATTATTATTATTAATTACCTCCATGAATTCCTTTCGAAATGCTATGAGAGCTGCCATTAAAATTTCAACGTCATTGGTGCAATATGATGCGAGCTCCTCATCAAGCAAAAAAGGTTTCTTGTTGTTATGCTCATACCATTTATCAAAATCTTTTCTCTTCTCAGGCATCATTCCGTCCGCAAAGTAGTCTGATGGTTCAGGAAATATTTCTTTTCCATAGTTGTCAGGTCGATTAGAACGGTGTGGAAAATAAGGCTTATCTTCCACGTCTAATCCGAATGCTGGTACTAGAGATGCGAGGCTCATTGGCATGAGATTGAAGCTGTCTCGGAAAATTAGGAAGCTCTTCTTTCCAATTTGTAGTTTCATCTCATAGAGTTTGTTACCGTTGTTAATCATTGAAGGAGTGAAGCCTCGGAGAAAGAGCATTCTGAAGACAATAACCATATCGAACCTTCCACCGAAGTGTGAGAAGGCAATAGTGTTGTTTTCTGTTGTTATTTCAATGATCCACTTTACAAATGCTTCTAAAGGATCTTTTGAGATGATTTGACGATCAACCGTTGTTTTGGTGAAAGGTCGTTCAGAAAATGTGATGGATCGCTCCTCGCCGCATAATTTACACTCAAACGAGATGTTGTCAATACATTTTGGGCATGTGATCTTCGCTGCAATAAAATTGGGATTGTGTCGTCTCTTTTTGTTGTCATGCAGCTCCGGCACGTGTTGCATAGTCTCAAGATCGAAGGCCACTATTTTATAAGGAGTTGTCTCTTTGGGCTCCAGTGGACGGATGAAGCAGCCTCGTTTAACATCATGGAAGCTATGACATGTTGTACAATATCGCTCGCTGCATGCGTGACCTTTACGACCATCTTTGGTGTTTTTCGCGACATCCCAAATAACTCCACATTTTTCACACCTTTTGGAGATATTGCAAAATTTGGAGTTTATATGATGATCGAAACAGTTGTTATTATTGAAGTTCTTGGAGCAGCTCTTACATTTTTTGAAGAAGTTCCCATCTGGCTCACAAGGATATTTCGGACCGACTCTTGAGCATTTTATACACCTAGCTTTGCAGGTCTTCAGATGTCTAGATGGACGATCATATACCTTTTCACAACTCAAACAATAGGGACGTCCAAAAAGTCCTCCCGGCTCCTTAACTCCGTGAAAGTGCTCGTTGTTTAAATAATAAAGGAGCAATGGTGTATCGTAGTTAGAAGGTCCGTATTTAAATAGCGGCTCATAACGCCCAATTGATCCGAAAACAAAAGCTTTAAACGTAAACCGGCCTTTGTGCTCCTTGTTAAAGAGATCAATAACAGGCGGAATCCATTCTTTGGCGTCGTAGTTTTTCAAATTGAGAGGAGCATTAACTTGACGCATTAGTTCTGTTGTTTCCTCCTCGAATTTTCCTCTCCATCCAA